ATTCATCACAAACTACTTCACCACCAGGTCAAATGACTTGTCATAAACCTGGGTACAGTGTGGGATATTTAATTTTAATGCCAAGTCTATCATTTTGTTGAGCCAGGGATTTCTACCTGAAGTGTTGAAATACATAAAGAGACATTGCTAGAATTTTTGTCTCTTAAATATTTGCAGCAGATCTCCAGTCAAAACTACTGCAAATGAACGTCCAAACTTAACCACTTTTAAATCGTAACCACAGGTAGGGGAAAAAAATGATTCCTCTGGATGCTTTAAAGCTTATTTCTTATTATTTACACAGCTGTAATTCAGGAGCTATAGCTGTGTAGAACTACTAAGGAAAAAAGAGGGAAAACTGAAGCCAATTTATGACTTAGAAAAGCCTTGTGTAAAATTTTCAACAGCACCTTGGCAATTAAGAATGCTAACTCCCATTTTCAAAACTGATTTAGAGCTAGGTCCACAAAAAGACATAGATGCCTAAGTGCCTTTCTAGATGCTGGGCTCCATAATTTAAAACTTTAAATCATTATCTAAGCTGGGGCTTAATACTGGAATCACCTAAATTCTTTATGGGCCTAATTTCTCAATCAAATTCTCTAGGCACCTACAGGCTTCTGGGCATGTCTAAAGCCCCCAAGTCTTGAGCAGTCTAGCTCACTCCTAAACCCCAAGGGATACATGAGGCAGTATTATCTGGCTTGCACAGTCTGGTCAGGTAGATATTCTCAGAGCACGTGACTGGATCATGCTCCACACACAACGCAGAAGGAGTAGGTAGAGCCTCAAACTGTTCAGTGGCTCAGCGGTTAGGACAGTTACGTGGAACGTGGGAGGTGAAAAGAGAGGGCACAAGAGAGCATGCCTCCTTAGCCTAGAGCAGAGGTTCTCCAACTGTGGTCCGTGGACCACCACTGGCCTGTGAGCTCCATTCAGGTGGTCTGCAGAAACGTTGTCCAGCTAAAGCTGACAAACATTACACCCAACTTCCCAGAACCTTGCTCAAAAAACCAGGCATATCCATCACATTAGAAAGGTAAGACTACTGATATTAAAATATAAGTTGTGGGCTTTGATTTGTACAACAACAGAAAGTTTATTAAGTGGTCCACTGAGATCCTTAGCAATTTTCGAGTGGTGCATGAAAAAACTACGTTTGAGAACCACCAGCTTAGAGGAGAGGACATGTACCAATGAGGTGAGAAGCTAGGGGTTCCAGTCTTTGCTCACAGGTTGGATTTTGTTGTGTACATTAAAGAGCAGTGTTCCTTCTTTCTAGACCAATGAATCTTAAATTCTTTTCTGTACAAGAGGGTGCGAGGGTTTATCATCCAGAGCAACATAAAGCCTGGGGCTAGGAGCCAGAGATGAGGGTTCGAACCCACTCAAGCTTAAGAAGAAGTGAACCTAAGGCTATCTACTCTATCTCTGTGCTGTGCTCGGGAGCAGAGCCAAGAAGCATATCCTGTCTGCTTGCTCCTGTTCCACGTGTATGAAAGCCCCAAATGAGGCAACATAGCTGAGGCAATAAGCATACATAATAAGGCTGTGCGAAGCTTCAGTCACTGATTTGATTCAGTGGATATTTGGCCCGATTCTGTGGCCAAATCTCTGAATCTGAATTGAATCGGGAGACCCTTTAATCTCTCTGGATCGAAGCAGAACCTTCTGCCGTACACACAATACTGGACTCCTTTTTCAGGGCCAGATGCCTAAAATTTAGGTATTGTGGAAGCTAATTTTTAGGCATCTAGGCTCATACCCCCAAAAGTATTAACATGCCTAATCCCTAGTGATTCCAATGTGATTTGGATACCTAAATAAAGGATGCCTAAATATATTTCTGTATCTGACCCTTATGCCATTTACTTGCCCAAGTTCTTAATCACTTGGGGTCAAAGTTACATGACTTAGTAAAAAATATCCTCCTAAGTCACTGAGTTGCTTTTGAAAGTGTTACCCACCTATTTCTTTCCTTACAACCTGCCTTTCCCACTGGAAAATACCATGTGTCAGCATAATTATCCATCTCCTGGATTGTAGATAAAATTCCTTAATTTAATTCCTCTCTGGCTAGCAGGTGGCAACACTGAGAAAGATCTGTCTGGTGGGCCTTTCTCTATTGCTGTAGTTCCCAAACTCAGATTGTGCACCACCAATTAAATGATATGACCTTAAGCACCACCAGCAAATTTTTGTCATATAAATTAATTATAATAAATGTGTTAATACATATTACTGACAGGTTGTCTGTGTACCACT